TCCATTACAAACACATGCAAAGGCAAACCAAGTACTTCTCATAAACCTATCTTTCCAAACATCAAAAGTAAGAATACGAAACGCACATGTACACTGAAGCACAAACTATGCTGACGTGTAGCATCAGTTAATGGTTCTTGCTAATCACGTTTTCTCTTTCCAGGATGTTCCCTCGGGGCAGGTGACAAATACCAAAATAGATGATAAATTTCACATTGAACAGTAAAGAAAGTCCCCTAAGACATTTAATCGTAAGTGCTTCCTTGCATTAAGCCACTGAAACTGTGATTGTTATCTCATTAGTACACTGCTCATTACCTCCCTGTCCTGAAAACAGGACGCAACTGTTTTTTGCCCTGCCACACATGGTCTTGTGCTTCGCTTAATGTCTAAGTCAGTTGTAAAACCTTGCTGAACAGTGGGCGAATTGGTTCTAAAAACTGCTGTGCACAATTTCGAACATATGTTTCAGGTTATTGTCGAAGGGAAAACAATTGAATCGTTCGTGCCTAAATATAATTGATGATTTGGTTATCTCGTGGAAATAACACTTACTTTTTAATGTAAAATCGTAGCTATGCAAATACTCATTAAAGATAGAAGTACATTCATGATAGAAACAGACAATGACAACATAATACATTGACATTTGTTTTGTTTTCTTTGAAAAAGAACACGACCGAGACACTTTCAGTTTATTGATATTTAAGGCAGTCTCTGTAACAATACATGTTTTAAGAAGCATGATTTATATGTGGATAGGGATCAATGAAACAAGAAAGAAAATGATAAAATACAATGCTAAATTCAAAACACAATGTTCAAAGTTATCAAAATTCATTTGAGGATCTAATGACGACTAGATTGTTAAACCCACTGTTGGCACTGTGTTAAATCATTGGTAAAGTAAATGTCAGTTTATGTTTTAAGATCTGTCACACTTTCCAAATAGATCCATTAGCTAATTACTTGAGATGGAACAGAGTTCTGTTATTTTGAACTCATTTATGACATCATTTTGGCAGATAAGACAAAAAACGAAAACATACCGTCCGCAAGATTTTATGCCATTACACTGGTGCTCGTGGTATTCGGACAAGTACTTAAACCATAAAAACACAATCTAGGTAGTTTCTAACCATGTAGTAAAGGTCCTTGTCCACTTTGAGGGGCTGTCTGATGTACGCGTTTGCATACTTGCCTTTTCAACCCAAAATACACACTTTTATATGGGAGAGTGACCTCCCTGCAATAAATAGTGACTGTTGCCACACGTGCCAATGGACATCAATCGGGCATCTGTGATATGCCGTACAAGGAAACAATGGCATCTGGATCCCAGATTTCACACACGATACCTGTGTTCCTCTGAAATATTCCAGCTGTCGTTAGAGATGATCCATGCCGACATGCCAAAGAATCAACTGGAAAACTATTGTCAGTGTCTCATCTGGATCTTTTCATAGAAGAATTAACTCATTACAAAAGTTTGTACCAATCTGAATTACATTTTGAGCAATATACCATCAGCTCCATCTTATGGTGTGAATATTGTTCAATGCCACATCAGCAGACTTGCTGTCTATGGTGTCTACATTTCCCAGTGCAGGCAAACAGACACTTTGTTTACAGTCAATATTTTTAATTAAGATTTCACCACCAAAAGCCTTGTCATTTTCTTCTATAATTTTTATGGTAGAGACGAAATCTACTAAATATGAAACCTGACTTGTCAATATGATGCACAGTGCTTTTCCGTGTGGACAAGACAATCCAGTGATCACATCACAAGCATCGATATTTGGTATACGAAGACATGATTGTGTCAACCAATTCAGCGAGATTGAACACCCGATCACGTTATTCGCCTCTTACGACAAGCATGGACCAATTATATCCAGGATCTTTACAAGGATCCGGAGTTACAGACCTTCCTACTCACTGACACTTACTTTGATGGATCCGAGGCTCAATGCTTGATGACAGCGATTCGTTCTATCACAAACACGTTTGATATAGGATACTGATATCTGAATTGTCTGGTCACGACGCGATTGTTTACATGCCACGTGGAAATGGAATTTCAAAGTGCGGCGTTAAACTTCAGGCAAAGATTTTCATTTATATAAAGATGGTTCCATTGTTAGGTGCTCACTCTTTTCGCCTGCCCTTGGCAAATATTTGAATTCCAATAATGGCTGATATTCATAACAAATTCAAATTATTCAATTTAATGTATTCTTTAAGAAAAAGCAATATGACATATGAACAGTATAGATTGAGATTTGGTACCTGGATCTAATGTTATGTGCATGTCTGACAGGAATTGTATTACAAAACCTACATTTTGGAGCACACTGTAAATCGTCATCCGGAAATAACACACCAGGAAACCATAAGTAATGAAATAGGTTCAGACTGCTTATAGAACAAGTAGATTAATAATCTATTTGGTTTCAGACATAAATCAATAACAATCACCATTTCATCAATCTTTCTCTGATTACAAGTTCAGATTGCCGACTTTAGGTTACTTTCGTGATATCATCTAATCTCTATACAAACAATCGTTTCCTGTCTCAGGGCCTCCCCATAATGAAGTTCGTTGACAGCAGGCTCATTGCCTTCCAGTGTACAGCAACATGGTATGACGATAAATCAGGAATACCATTGAGCAATAGATCAGCTGCAATTTGGGGTTAACTCCCCTTTTAAGTAGACAATTGCCAGGAATTCACCACCAAGTTAATAGACTGAACAGATGGCAGATGCTATTCATTACGGAATAAATGACATGTGAACAGCACTTACGTAAAATGAAGCATCACATGTATGTACATATTTGTTTACTGGTACAAAGGGGTGCTAAAAATAATCTCAGTTAAACACCTGTTGATCTGAAAATGTCATTGGCGAAGATGACTGTGATCCTTTTAAGCAGCGACCATGACAAACCAGCGATGCATATCCTTCTGTGTTACCAGTGCTACTTTGTAATTTGGAGGAACTGGCTAGCATATCCTCCACCTTGTTTGAAGTTCATAATTGTAACATAACAATCATGGGATTCGAATGCAATTATATCTCTTCTACTGTATGCAACTTTGAGAATGTGGAAATCTAGTGAAGAAGAGTAATGTTCGTAGATATATTTGGGATGCTTGTTTGTATACCAAGGACATATGACTACATGTACGAGAAGGAATGACTAGGATAGGCCAATTTTTCATGACAAAAATAAAATCCATGAGTTATTCTATAAAAAAATGTTTTGCATGAACGTTCGTGATCGAATGTTCAAAATTTCAATGGCAACACTTTCAGTCATTTCGAATGTAGAATACCTAACGAACCATTTTGATCCCGGTTACAGAAAATACAATTTTGTGCATGTGCCTAAACGATAACCCTTATCAAAGTTCATTCCTGAGAATTCCCTGGTGGCACCTAAAGACATCCACGGATCAAAGGTGAAAGACAAGCTTTAATGGATGTATTTTTTTAACTTTGGGGTGAATAAGTCTCTGTTACAGTCTTTGGGGACAGCATGGCGAAAACCCAATGGTAATATATCAGCGTGTGTCGATGCTTCAATATCAGGATGTGATTATCACTAGAGATTTGATTATGGTGTGAAATATGGTATCACATTAGGTGCCTGCGATGTATCCATCACTCTTGGATACTAGCGATGCTGAGTGTGCCATTTGAGTGAAAGTTACGCCTCCAGCATGTGTACAGTTATTGGTTCTTTTTTAGGCTATATGAGATATAAAGTAAACTATTATCAATGAGTGAAATGTATTGTAACACTTGTTACTCTTATTAAATTAAGAATAGTAAAATGTTACTGTTCATTATGCTGTCGAAAGCAATCCACACAAAACTCGGAGAACAGGCCTTTGCTATTCACATCAAATAATTAGATATTTGCAGGGCCTGCATGTGCCAAACCCCAGGATGTACCTGTCAGACTACAAGTAAGGTGAGCTGTTTACACCTACATCAGAGCGACTGCTGGAAAGTATGGTGCAGTGTTAGTGACAAAACAATTTTAGCCTGTGGCACCCTTTTTGACAATTGATATTTAGGAAACAAAGAACTGAGCGATGATCCATGTTGTTTTGGTTTTATTTGTTTATTGATTAAAAGCCAAATTTTCCAGCTATATAAAGACAATCCATCTAACTGAGTCATTGAATCAGTCTTGGCTGACAATATCAAACCTACATTTGTCCGGGTTAGTACAAACAGCTACACACAAACGTGCATGCATGTGGTTATACGGTAAAACCGTTTTCATCTTGCCTCATTTGATAACATAAAGCTGACTCTGATCAGTTCCTGGACTTGTAATACATGAAGCGACAGTGTGACACTATTTGGTGCAGGTATACGTATCTAAACGTGAGGCAGTTAGAGTAAGATTAAACGGAGGTATGCCTCTAGGTATGTTATTGCGCCGGAGATAAATCAATCAGGACATGTGATACTTGGGGTATTACGTTGGAGCTGTGCGTGGTTCCAATACATAATTACTGACCGGGATCCACATGTTTCACAACGTGGGCAAGCTAGTTACATGAGCGTACGGATTATACATGGTGACAGTACATCAACTCAGTATATGTGCTTGCGTATCACCCGAGAGTTTGATTTTCTAAATTTTTCGATAACATTACCCAGTGGCTAATATAGTCCACATTTGACTCAAAACGGAGCCTTTCTGTAATACCTTCATATTGCCTATGTAATAGTAAATCTTACCTCACTCAGTAAACATTAACAAACACGTGAAGTTATCACTGCCTGAATGCACGAAATAGGGCAGGAAACAAACCCATTTTTGGGGGGTGATTTGATCAAATTGAGAGGTATACATGATCTATATATCAAATTAAAGCTGAAGACCTATAGAATAATATTAGACATGATGTGGAAATATTCGCGTGGACACTTTCCGGTAAAACCGGATTTTGGGTCAAAAACACTAAAAATCATAATTTTCCAAATATCTTTATTAATTTTCAAACTATTGACCCCATTCAAACAAATTCACCATCAAATGAAAGGTTGTTCTCAGCACAATAGAAAAATAATAGTGATTGCAATATTTAGACATAAAATTTTCATTGCATGATTGAAAATTTGGGTAAAAAATGTAATTTTCGGTCCTCCTTTTTTTCCCCAGGTATGAAGTAGAAGAAGAATAAATCTAATTGGTCTACTTTCAAAACTACCTTTTAATCACTCATCACTATCATCATTACAGGTAAAGATACATTAATATCTCTAAAATAGAACATTGTTAAAGATACTGAATTATAAGTGTAATGTGTTAGGAACCAACAATCCTTCAAACTAGATTCACTTGCTGTTCTTTTTGTAAAGCAATAGTATGTCTTGTGTTAAAGGTTATTGTAAAAACTAACAACTTGGAAAAGGAATAAGCTCAAATATGAATTTCAAACAATTATACTGACCAGGCATTCCATACTGGACTCGTCCAATTTCAGGTTTAGTGATACACCAGATCATGTTTAGTTACACATCAGATCAAAGTTTGTTTGCTTTCTTCAAGTTCAAAGTTCTATTTTACAATCTTCATGTTATGCATCAAATAGATTTATGATTATTACACAGGTCATTCTTCATTGTCACTGGTTATGTTCACCAAGATCATTCATGAGGTTAGTGCAATTCTGTCCACCCTGTCCTTGCTTGCAAGGACACAGTTCAATACAAGGCAGATTGCTCTGTCTACAAATGCACCGCACTGAGGAGCATGGGGACTTGCAGCAGGTGCAAACAAGGCAGTCAAGAACTTCAGAAGCAGTTTGATGTTCAAACAATCTGGGGTTGAGCAATCCATTCACCCTAGTCCAGGCAAAATCTTCAAAGTTACCAAACTCTGGTTTACCACAATGAGAACTTGTCCAAATGCTAGTTTGCCGCATCACACGCTTGACGTGCTGTCGAAAGCTGTCTTCGCATGAGGGAAGTTTGGCAAGCTCATTGTCTCTTAGTCGACATAGTAGAAATCTCATGTCATTCAAAGAGTGACGTGGTTTAATCTTCTTCCTGGGTTTATACAAGGCTGACGTTTGATTGCCTGCAGACCTCCACTGCTGCATCAAGGTTTCCCGAAGATAAGACTTGATGACTTGAAAACAGATCTTTGTCTTTCATCATAGCCTTGTAGACTGTCTTCTTGCCAACATGAAAATAATGCTGATGACGTATCTCAGCCAGTAAAGGCATGGATTCCTGGCAAAGCAAATGACATTGATGATCCAAGAAGATGGCAGATGTTATGGACAGGATTGAACCGGTGCCTGTCCGTGACTTCAGAAGACACTCCAGTTTTCACGGACATGCTCCATTTGTGGACAATAGCAGATATATAGTATGAGAACATCTGTATCAGGGGACTTGATGACGATACTTCCTTGGGTATGCCTCTCTTCAAACTCACCATTGCAGTACATGGCGTTGAAGAGCATGCATGTATCAACTTCTTCTTGAGAACATTCAAGTTCATCAATGCAAGCATCACCAGTGGGAGGGATCAACTTGGTCACCATTCCATCTTCATATCTTCCTGAGAGATACAATCCTCCTTGTGGTTCTGTTGACATTGTAGCAACTTGGACTTTGGTACACAAAACGTTGTTAACTGTGACATGTTCTCAGATACACCAAGAAACTTGTTCCACTGTGGAATCTGTCTGCCTGATGACACTTGATACTTCTTGCCGGTGTTGAGGTCAGCTCTTCGGGAACGTTCTGCAGACTTAGTGGAGTTGCGATTGTCATACTGGTCGAACATATCTATGACAGTATCTGCCCTTGTGAAACACTGCTTCATATTTTGCATATAACTGTCAGCAACACTATCAAACGCGGAGGGAATGGCAGGTTTCATACTTATCAACATTGCCATTGTATCGCGAATGTGGACAGTGTCTTTTTGTCAAAGTCTGGTTAAGTGTCAACATTCTGTACAATTTCTTCTAATTTGTCTGTCAAATCGGCATTGGATGTCTTCCTCCTTGATCCATCTTCATTGAAAAGTAACGTAGGAACTGATCCTATGGGATGTGCGAGAACCTTGGCCATTGTGACATCACCACGACAATCTGTCAGACATAATGGTCTTCTAAAGACCATTTCTGCGCGCAAATGCTCAAGTCGAACAGTCCCATCTTCACTAAGAAACATCTATGATAAAGCAAATCCTGACCACAAAGATAATTTCCAAACAACTGCACAAGTCTGGTAAAAACATCGTCTTGGCTCAATTGGGCAGTGATTGTAATTCTCCAGGTGATAAATTTGTTCGAGCACTAATTATGATGCAGTACTCGGCAGATGAATGTTTACTCTTTTGGACTTGGTCCCTTTAAGTCCATTTCTCTTTGAAGTTAACCTGAAATAAGGAAAGTTTCATCATTAAATCTTCTTACATTTATTAACAGTAGAACATATTTCATAAAGAGAGTGGGTGGTGGGCTACTACAGTGGTTAAGGCGTTCGCTCATCACGCTGAAGACCCAGGTTCCATTCCCCACATGGGTACAATGTGTGAAGTCCATTTCAGGTGTCCCCCGCCGTGATATTGCTTGAAATGTTGCTAAAAGCGGTGTAAAACTAAACTCACTCATAAAGAGAATTCCTTTCTTAAACATGAAAGGTCATTATGATTTGGGGGGCGGTGGGGTAGCCTAGTGGTTAAAGCGTTGGCTCGTCACGCAACCCGGGTTCGAATCCCCACATGGGTACAATGTGTGAAGCCCATTTCTGGTGTTCCCCCGCCGTGATGTAGCTGGAATATTGCTAAAAGCGGCGTAAAACAAAACTCAGTCAGTCAGTCATTATGATTTGGGTTAAGAGCAACATTTAAAGTAAATACGTCTTACAAATAAAGGTAAGATTTTATCAATAAATAAGTCAATGTATGTGTAACTTCTGTGATACTATATATAGAGATATATATAATATAAAGGCTCATGAGAGAGTGATCTTTTTTGGACTTGTCCTAACTTCACTGGATTTGGCTCCATTGCCTAAGTTTTTCAGATATATACCTGAATGAAAAACATTTAAGCATGAAATCTTCAAAGATTTAAAATATATCATTGTTTCCGGGAGGAAAACATTTCATGAAAAGAAATGCCCTTCTTAAACACAAAATTTCATTTTGACACAACAAAAAAAGAGAATTTTTTTATGTTTAAAATTCATTATAAAAAGTTAGGATCTCATCACTGAATATGTGACTGTATGCGAAACTACTGTGAAATACATACATACCTAAAAGGTACGTGAAAGTCTTCAATTTTGGACTTGACCTATCTTAACAGAACTGGGCACTTATGTATCTGTATAAGTTTAAGTTTAATCATTAAATTTGTTTACATTCGTAATGTATCAATAAAAACAAGAGAAAAACTATTTCAAAAAGGGAAATGTCTTTTTTTTAAAAACAAGCTTTCATTATGATGCTACATGAAAATGATAGTAATTTTTTTTAAATAATTGTTTACAGCATGCACATATTGAATTATATCTATGTTTATAAATATAATTAAATCTAATAAATATTTTTGAAGAAATTGTCCTGTCAAATTATAAGGTAGTGTTTATATTTTGGTGGAAAAAAAATACATATATAAAAAAATTATGTTTGGGGAAGTTATATACGTTAAGAAAGAAATTATATCATTTCTACAATTTTATGATCAACATATCTGCTTTAAAAATCACTTCAAAACATATTTATTGCTAAAATTGGTGTGTGTTTTTAGTTGAGGATCACAAGCGGGTATTATTAAGTTGTAGGGAAATATTGCTAACATGTTTAGGTCACTGACAAGGCATTTTATACAGGATGGCCCTCTCAGGGTTTCAGAATGTTATCTGTACATGTTTTCTTGAAAAAGAATCATCAAAAACCTAATAAAATCATAAATTTATAATACCTGAAATATAATTGGACCAATAATAGAAAGATAAAGCATAAGATTTTCTGAATAGGATTTGGTGAATATTTTCATCCTTAAAATGGCCTCTCAAGGAGTTTCATCAGTTAAAACTTTAGAGTTAGTTATCTTGAAATCTGTCAATGAAACAGTTGACTTTAAACATGTAAAATGCCATGAAAATACCTTAGAATATCAGGTACAGTAACAAATTACCTATTTGAAATGCATTTCAAAATTTTATCATCAAACAAGATTAGTGCATAAGTAACCCACTGGTAATCTTCTGTCATTTCTATCATTGAAGCATAAGGTTCTGTGGAAATGTACCCAATTAGAAAACAACTTACCTCAACAATGATATTGAAGAAATCTGAAGACTTGTCAATGCTTCGAATGAAAATCTTTGGAAAAAGATCTAACAAGCTATCAAGTTCCAAATGTCAACACTGCTAGGACAGGAAGTGGTCTCAGCAGACTGCAGGAAGTACTGGTAGTACTATTTTCTTGATGACTCATTTTACAGCAGAGTTTCTCTACAGACTTTACTGGTTTGACATAAAAACGTTTTTATAAGAAAATGTCCACATAAATTTCACCACATCATTTTTTTTCTTAATGCTCAGATCACAAGCTTTCATTTCATGTATAGATTGTGTATACTCTCTCTCAGATATCAAATACAAATGGTTTTTGAAGGAATATCAGGTTTGTGTCCTGCCCTAAAACACACACCAATTAATAGAAATACTTTCTTATTTATCATAGTTCTTATTTATCACAGTTCATAATTGTAACAGATTATTAAGAGATGCGGTACGAAGTAGGCAAGTCGAAATACCATGCGAATCTTTTGGAGTGATTTGAATATTTACCCTTTTGGTTCAAGTATAAATACATGTAGATAATAGTCACGATTTGTTTGACCAAACTTCGGATATTCGCATCTTGTTCACAATAAAATCCTACTATATTTGAGAAGGCTTCAGGGAGATTCGAAGTGTCTGGATTCGAAGTGACTACATTTACACGTTACATTTATTGACATCCTTAGATGGGACACTGTGATGATGATTACATTTAAACCGCGGCAAAACCCTTTCCACATCCACAAGAAACCTCAGAAAGTTCAGCATCAAGTAGTGTCAGCTGATCGCGAAAAGGTGAGCATATTCTCTCCGACATGGGCACCTGCAATAAACAGATGCAAAGACTGGTCACTTGTTCAACTGAAACAAAACACAGGAACATAAGGTACATGTGAAAATGTGAATTGCAAAGCCATGAGTTTGTTACTGATGCCTCAAATTTGGAAATGTTCTTCACCTGTCTGCCAACGTCTGCCAATCATCACTATGTTTCTGGTTTGTCACGAACATACCATAGTCAGTTTTCACCAAAGAGATTAAAGTCTACTACTTGCATCACTCCGGGTTGTTCTTTTTGTTATATAACCAACATATGTTTCAAATACGTGAAACCAAACTTACTTACTCGCTACACTAGTCTTGAAATTGAGTTATATTATCTATCTTATAACTTACACCCCAAGGCAAGGCATGTGTTAAAAGCTCCAAACGGATGATACACGGACCGTAGATATATAAATGCCCTGTGTGTCTTCAAACCTGTATTTATATCAGTAGAAGACAAATCTGTTTGCACAACTTTTGAATAAAACTCTTACCAACTGTTTACGTCGGTAGCTTGCTTATTTCATAAACACATTTACCTAATCTGATGAATGTTCTGAATCCTCTTTAATGAAAGTAATTTCTTGAACAGAAACTATCTGTGTAATAAGAAGAAACGAGCAAAGTCTACCATCGTTGTCACAGCAGGATACATACACTGATAAGAGCGGATACAAATCTGCCAAGACGTCGGCTAACCCATGAATTTGCCTTCTATGTGATGGTGGTCCTTGATAACAAATTGCTTGTGATTCATGGGAATACTGCCAGTAATCAGACGTTCTTTCTCTTGCTCATTTCACAGAGATAAATGTAGCACTGACAGAACTTTCAAAATGAGAAAAAATATAGTCAGTGATAGCTTGCTGCAGGAAAAAGCTGGATCAAGGAGACTATGTGATGGTAACTCGTTTTTCAGAGACAGGTAAGCAGCATTCACATGTCCAAATGAGACACATACAAAATAATGGTGATGAAAGGCCATAAAAATAAAGACAGACTACAAACATTCTTCGATGTTAACTGGTTTTGTTTTGAGGGGTTTTCCCAGAAAAATGTATGCTGCATTAACATGTCGAAATATGATGCATACAATTGCCGTCTGTATTTGTATACCATATAAATGAAGCTAAGAACATTCTGCGATGGTAACTGATTTATTCAGACATGCATGCAGCACTAGAAGATACAGTGAGACATACAAAACTGAACTCCATTTGAGTAACGCAACCCCAGTAACATTCTGCAAATCGATGGTCTTTCTCTAAATGTGATTAAACTTTCATAAAGTCATATCCAAAGAATAATCAGTCTCGAATAACCGGTTTCACTTGGGAAAATAGTGATGCCAATTAAGGGAAAGATTCACGGAAAACCAGTGATCCCAAAAGGGGTAAGTATTCCTGCTCTTAACAACTGCCTCGCAATCTCTTCAAAATACACACGTGTCAGTGACGTGAGAATTTCGTCTATAGGTCATAGCATGTGAGTGCATCATGTTGATAACTGTTAATAACTATTAACCAAACATTTCTGAATGGATAGCATAAAATTCTTAAATATGTTAAGTGGTCTTTTAAGGGTGAAACCATGAATGTATAGAGGCTTAAAAATCAATGTAGAAACAATACCACCAGTTGTTGTATAATTGATGGAATACACGGAACGTTCTCCGTGGTGTTATTATGTTAATGCTGGGTTGAGGAAAGGAAGAGCAATCCTCGCAATAATGCAGCGGCTTTTCTACAGATTTTATTTGCTTTGGTGGCTTTTTCCATATCACATTGCTTCAGGGAAGGTCATAAAAACGAATGGAATTTAGTACCACAGATGTGGCAGGTTGTGATCCTCATGAGTAGACTCCTATGTTAAAATTTCAAAGGCTGTTTGTATTTGATCATAAGCATAAACAAATAGTAAAGAAGTAAAATATCTGAAAAAGAAATTGGTCATGGTTAAGTCTTACAGCTGTGTATATGAAAGTTCAAACGATCATACAATCTGCATAACTTTGGGCAAACATCGCGCTTGCAGCTTAATTTCACGCCTTGAAATAATTGAAACATTGTTGAACCCAAACTTGCCGCCTCTGGTACTTCCGGGTATCTTCCTACTAATAAATGTATGGACAGTAATGATCGTGTTTTTTATGTGGATTATTTACTTTAAACTTCCTTGTGACCGCCAGGTTAATAATCAATGAATATTGTTCGTATATTGTTCTCTGTTTGTCTCTCCGAAATGGGTTTTACCATCTTAAAACCGTTTATTTAGAGTTGTTGTTGTCGTTTAGCGCAAACATGTTTTTTTCTGCACCAAACAATAATGTTCCATTTCTTTCGTCGTAAAATTCGCATTTAAAGCAGGTAGGTGTGTTCTTAAACATATCAAATGCTTCCATTCAAGCAAGTCTTTCAACGAATAATCTTAATCTCGTCAAGATGTTTATCTGTTTACCATTCCCCCGACTACGTTTTTATAAAATCCTACCTGCGTATATACAGATTTATCACTAGTTGATGGTTTCCTTGAAGGTCTGCCGAAATGCTTATGGTTTTCTAACGAGAAAGCATCTCGACAAGGGAACCACCTTGATCTATACGAGATGTTATATGGGAGAAACACATATTCTGTAATTCTAAAGTTGCTGTGTTCAAAATCTCTTTACCCTTCTTCCCTACGCGCCAGTGAGTGTGTGTAATTTTGAAACCCATTTGTCCAAAATAAAACCGTTAACCCTTTCCACATCCACAAGAAATTTCAGGTCACAGTCGATTGTACAAGTCCGTCATTATCATGAGCATGTGTTTACGAATCACTTTCAAAAAGGGATGATACCAGGTGTCCCCGAAAAAGTGAGCGAATCCTTTTCGCAGGTGGCACCAGTCCAAATCATTTGCAAAGACTTGGGAACGTACGATAGACGTCAAAATAGGGAGTTGCGTGGGACATCATTTTTGTCACTGGCGCGTCACATGTCTACCATTAAATGTATGTTTGAATGGTGTAACCTTGATCGAACGAACTTGCGAACGAGAGTAGTATATAACACATGTTACATTTTCTCAATAAGTACAGATACTAATACTTTTGTTGGGTTGAGTCACATCCGCGATTCGAAATCTTAGAAATGTTACATTTTCTCATTAAGTACATATACTAATACTTTTGTTGGGTTGAGTCACATCCGCGATTCGAAATCTGAAATCTTAGAAAAAGTAGCATCCTCGACTGTATACAAAAGAATGGACCTGTTGGAATATTGCTCGTCAAGAAGAATATTGCTCGAAACTCTCGTGTGAACGAGCAACGCTTTGAACAACGCTTTGGCATCGATCACTTTTCAGTGCAAACACACAAACTAACATTCAATTCTTATAATTTCGTTCTTTGAAGTTTACACATACTTTTTTTGCCCACTTCTACATGATCATTGTTTACAGTGATGTGTTTTAACGCCTGTAAAATGTTGTAATGTCATTCTGTTCAAGACCGTATTGCAGCGATGTTTGGATGCTTGGCGATCCTACCAATTGTCAGCATGGAAATTTCCCTCATTTAGACCATGAACATGTTCACACTAAACATGTCAAACAAATTGGACAATTAACGCTTTTAGTTTGGTGTTTAGGATCTAAACGCATTTGTATATTTAAGCTAAAGCCTTATACGAGAGTATGCAACTTCGGAGATATGAAAAGAAATTGAGTAACCAAGGTGATAAATACCAGTTTAGATAACATATGTTTGTATTCTTCCGCGGCTTGGGGTCATATTCCGAATTGAAAACATATGGTTGTAGCTGATAATGTGTGCACAATATTACCTTGTTTCAATGTGTTGTTGTGTTGGGCATCTGACCGCACTTTATAAAATATCGTAACAAACCATTACTGGCCAGGCACACTTAAAACGTACGTGACGATACGCGTCTCTCAACTGAAGGGTAATTACTCCAGGGAGCTCACCCATGTACTGCCAAAGTGGACGAATAACAAAATTGAAAAAGTATCTGTTGACAATTCATTTTTCATACATGTTAGTTTCTCCACTGTCAAAAAGACACGATTCAGTTGGAACTAAAGTGAGTATTGTCAGTGTCCGACTAACTAATCACTGGCATTGTGACATAAATATGACATATTTAGATACTGTCTGTGAGAGATGGAACTTCCTATTTAAGAATGACGTTATATGAGAAACAGGTTATCACCTTAATGTATTTTTGGAAGGTAAATATCCTGCCCTGGGGATAATCACTGTGTATTTAGCTCGCTAAGAGCCGCTAAATATAATGTTTATTCCTAATACAGGATATAAACCATCCAGAAATACACTCGCGTGATAACCTCTACTTTGCCAGATGGATCACACAGTGTCACTCAGATTTCACGGTGAACGTTCTAGTTAGTTTATGAGTGTGTGATTTTGGTTTAACGCCGCTTTTTGCAATATTCCAGCA